GTCTGTTAAAACTCAATGGGCTCAGGGGAGGCGAGAGAGACTCAGACTCCCGCTGTAACTTTACCTGTTGGTGTCGCTATTGGACAATGTTTCTTCAGAAAAACGAGTGATTTATACACTTTTTAATGTTATATTTTGTAATATTGGCGTTGTTTTATTTTTGTACTACTAATTTTTTCTTATCCAATATTTTGAAGATATATACATATACAGTATATACACAATTCAATTTTTCTCTGCTTTGCACACATAAAGTTCAATAAAATTATGTTTGAAGAAAAATATTTTTTTTTGCTATGTAATATACTGTATATAATGTATTACATTATGCATGATAAATTATAAAGATTTCACAGTGATTTGATTCTGTAAAGTTTTTTTGGTTACAACATTACTGTAGTAAAACCATGTTTTACTACGTTTATACATTTGAAGACGAGCAGAGAGTATAGAATACTAGATAAAAAAATTAGCTAGCTAGAATACATGCATATTAACAGCGTAAACATGAATTAGCCATGCGACCATATAATATGATTAAATGTTAATACATTAAGTGTATCAGCAATCATACATTTCTTAGAAATATATTTTACCTAGGTGACGAGGATCACTCAGTCGCTTTGTGTCAAGCTCAAATGCAGTTACGGGGTTTTTGACCAGTGAATGTGTGCCAATGTGCATTTTGTCCGTCATTAAAATGGCGGCGTTACGTTTTCATCACCAGGGCTGCGTTCAAACCCCGACAAAAACGGTGCAAAACAGTTTTTAAACAGAAATGGTGGTGCGTTGAACACCCTGTTCTGATGACGCAAGAGTTGCAACTATGGCAGCTGAGAAGGCCATTCTTTGTGTTCTTTTTGAAGAATTTTCGGAGCCTGATGAAATCGGTATAAATACGTGTTTAACCCCTTAACTGTCACCCCCCATTTTTTAAAATAGGCATGCAGGTGCACTATCCAAACTTAAATTGTTGTAATTTATGAACACTTTGGAATACAGACATAAGGTTGGTCTTTTTTTAAAGAAGACAATCAGCAAAATTATCGCAAAAGTGGAATTCTTTCAAAAAATTTAAGTATCAAAAGGTTATAGTAGTTTAAATTTACTGTAAAGAAAATGCACTATATTAATTGTATTTTATTTTATATATAATAAATATTTTACATATCAGGTTTTACTCTAAAATTTGTATAAAATTATAGTCTTATGTCTAAATAAGTTATGTTGCAAATTTGAAGTTGATATGAAAAAAATTGAGGTTCCTGTGAGATTTTATTTAGGGTGTTATACCACAAACAGCCACCGAGTGACACCCAAACTCCATTGAATTTTTTTAAATGCATTTTTCTGTCACAAATGTCTAGATTTCTCTGTCATTTTCTCTGTCATATGAAAACCGTAGCAAAACGGTGCGCTTGAACTTGCCCCAGGTGTTTGTTGTAGCTATATGGGCGCGGCGCTCAGTTTCAAATGCATAAATTATGAGCCTTTATAGACATAGTGTTTCTTGTCTAAAGAAAACGCCGTACTTATTCAGACAACAAGATCTTTATTTACCCTTGCAGACCTAGTTCAAGTTAGTCAAGATAGAGGGGGTGGAGTTATGAGGTGTACTGACAGTTTGAGCGGATCCA